CTTCTTCTTCTTCTTCTTCTTCTTCTTCTTCTTCTTCTTCTTCTTCTCTTCATGTATAAAAGCAGCAGTTTGAAACCGCAGTTCTGAAAACCTGAAGCTTGAGCCATTTCCTCCCTTTTCTCCTGAATGATAGTCCACAGTGAGGCAGCACCAGGACTCAGGAACTGAATTTGCTCTATAACAATAACTTCTAAGGGACTGGACTTGGATAATACATGTAGTCCTCAATTTACAACCATTTGTTTAGTGACCATTCAAAGTTACAACGGCACTGAAAAAGCTGACTTATGACCGTTTTACACACTTACCACCATTGTGGCATCCCCTTGGTCACATGATCAAAATTCAGGCACTTGGCAATTGGCTCATATTTATGATGGCTACAGTGTCCTGGGGTCATGTGATCACCTTCCGACAAGCAAAGTCAATAGGGTAACCAGATTCACTTAATGACTTTATTATGAACTTAACAACTGCCGTGATTCACTGAACAATTGTGGCAGGAAAGGTCATAAAATGGAACAAAATTCACTTAACCACCTGTCCCAGCAACAGAAATGTTGGGCTCAATTTAAGTTGAAGACTGTCTCTATAAGGAAACTTTAAAGGCTTTCCATGTGTTTATTTAAAAAAAAAAAAAATAGACTAAAATAGCAATTTTCACTAGGCAGAAGTTGTTCCCCTAACTCAAGGTATTTTATAACCCATTGTTAATACATCAGGAGCCTCAGCTGCACTTCACTGTTTATGCAGGCAGTCTGTTTCTTTGGAGGTATTTTTCACCCCTTTGTGTTTGGCTTGGCCATTTCAGCTCCATATAAAAACAGATCATTATCTGCAATCATATCTCTCTATCTCTCTCCCCTTGCCTCACACAAAAGCTTAGCTTCTTGGTCAATGAACTTCCAATGGCCTGTATCTGTGTATGTCTTACTCACAACCAATATTTCTTCGCTAAACAACATAATCAGGCGCCACAATCATGCCAGAAACTTCCTTCAGAAATTAATCCTCTAAATCCTGGAGGACGAGGAATGAAGCGAGATAACAAACAGAAGATGGTGAACGTGCCAATATATCTGCATTTTCTGGTTATGCAGGAAGGAAGAGAACTCTTTTGAAAAAAGAAAAGGCGGTAAATATAATCCTATGGTAGAAAGAAGTGGAAAACACTTACACAAGTAAGGATGATAAGTAACAAATAGAAGCTCCCAATAGAGCTCAGCAACATAAGTTCTGTGGTATATTTTTTGAGTTTCAGATTTTTCGATTCCTCAGGACAGTCTGCAAGGCAAAACAATAATCTTTACATGATTAAAGTACTTTGAAAGTTCCAACGGCAAGGGGGTGCGGGAGGGATTGGCATATCATACCTACTACTCTGAGTATAATTGTACTTTGGTTGTAGTTTCTGACTGGTGCCAGTAAGATACATTTATACGTTCCACTACTGAAGTGTGTAGCATGTTTAATCTTGAGAAAATGCCTGGTGCCATTAGAAATCTCTAAGGAGTCGTTAAATCCTCTTGAATATGCATGTTCTTTATTATATTCCATAGCCTTCAATCCTTTGTTGTTTTCATCAATCTATAAAATAATGACAAATTAACACAGAGAGTTTTGATTGCAACTACATGAAAGTATTTATATGCCAGTGCTAAATCATTATCACAGCTTCCCCATAAGTGTCTGGATTGTGATACCCAGCAAGCATCTAGAACAGGGGTCTCCATCCTTAGCGACTTTAAGCCTGGTGGACTTAAACTCCCAGATTTCACTCAAGATCCAAATTATCAGGACAAAACCATTATGACACCATAGGGATTGCCCAACACCCTTTCAGAACACAAGGCTCTTCATTACATCATCACCTTCCAAGCTTCAACCAAACCTGGGAGCTCAGACAAACATGACCCCCACATGGCCCCATGGGAGTCTGACAACAACCAATAGAATACATGTTCTTTCACAGGAACAGGAAGCTCAAGTGCAAAGCCCAAGAGAAGCCATATATATACTCCTCCCTCTCAACTCCATGCGTTCAGCTTCCCAGAACCCATGTGCTTGGTGGCTCTGCTTCACCATTAAACCATCTTTCCAATCAGCTTCCATGTTTCCAGTGTCTTTCTCCCAGCTTGGAACTGAACCAGATGGATATTTCTTCCAAAGGATGCAAGCAGGGAAAGGGTCAAAGTGTTGCAAAAGAAAAACGTAGTTTTACTGTAATTTCGTCTGCCTCAGAGCTGAGCTGGAAATAAAAGATCCAACTTCCAACCTGTTGACATGGTAGAATCAGACAGACTCAAAAATTGCTTTCAAGTCACCACAGAATCCTGGTATGCAGCTGTTTATTGCTGCTAATGCAACTTTAAAGTGATGTTGTTGCTAATTATGTGAATGAGCAGCGGGCAAGAATAAGGGGCACCTGCCTGAGATGCTTGGTGCCTGTAGTGCTATTTCAGCTAAGTCTGGCTCCAATTTAATTAATATTTAATACATATTTTAATCTCTTCCATTTGGATAGTCCTGGTAGCAGAGTGGGGTGACTCAGATGAAGCAGGGCCAAAAAAGCCATGTTCCAACTAGACAAGTAAATTTTAAGATAGGAAGCCTTTCATAATGATTACATAATCTGCTTTACTAATCTGCTAAATCCAGTGTATACAGGAAAACAATATATAGAGGTAATATATGCAAACTGTACCTTCGTGAACAAATGACAGACCAAAAAAAATGACATAAGGCAATTGGTGTCTTTTCCAGTGACAATTCCTCGAAAACATAAATGTAATAAACTTATTTTTCCTTTTAGGATAAATTCTTTCAGAGCTAATAACATTTGCATATGGGGACATCTAGTGGCAATGTCTTTGTTTGACAGGATGAATTATTTTTGCCTAGATTTTTTTACAAGGAAATGCATTTTTTTTTTTTGCTTTTTATATACTGAAATTGTTAATTGGAAACTGTATTATATCCAGTCTTTCTGTATTATAACTTTTAGGTGCTATTTTTTTACGTTAGCAACGTTTTGGCAGAATCTCATCTGCCATCATCAGACTTCTGTATAGTGTTCATCAGACGATGATGCCTGATGATGGCAGATGAGATTCTGCCGAAACGTTGCTACAACTTTAAAAGCACAACTATAATGACGTGGGAAAATACCCCCAAAAAGCTGAATACCATACATGTAAGTACCCGCGAAAACTTAAGAAATATATACATATATATATATATATATAGTGTGTGTGTATATGTATGTAAAAGAATAGTATACTAAAAGTTCAGAGTACAAAATGACTTTTTAAAAGAAAAAGTGGGGAGGTTGTATTTTTGTTACCCTTTAGGACAGCGGTTGCCAACTGGTGGGCCACGTCCCACTGGTGGGCCACGAGAAAATGTTGGTGGGCCGCAGACAAATGTCACCCCCAGAGCACCCCCAAATCAATTAATCCAGGCTGTGCAGAAACACAAGGCTGTGCCGCCCACATGGCCTGTGGGAACCCTCCCCGTCCACTCACTCCTTACCTGGCAAACTTGCCTGCTAACTTGCTATTTTTCCTTTTTCCAACCATCAGCTGTTCTGCTATGCCGGGAGATTTAGATTAGCTAGAAAGTAGGAAATAGTTGGATAATCTTCGGCTCTGCTTTCAAGCACAGCCGAAACTCCCTTAAGACTGAAGGTTCTATTATTCAGTGCAGACTCACGGCAAGCAAGTTTTATGTGACAGACTCAGGTAGCTGATGGCAGATAGATAGATCACTGAATGATTCTGTGAGCAACTCAATCTGCCTGCCTGCTTTGCCTGATTTTGGGTAAAAGTTGCTCTTTTTTTAAATAAAAAAATTCAATATTTACATACATGGTGTGTTGGGAGTTAGTTTTGTAGAGTTTACTTGCTAACAAATTTTATAAGTTTGCTTGCAAGCAAAATTTATGTGACAGACTGAGCTAGCCTATGGCAGATAGATAGATCTCTGAATGAATCTGTGATTCTGAGAGCAACTCACTCTGCCTGCCTGCTTTGCCTGATTTTGGGTAAAAGTTGCTCTTTTTTAATAAAAAATTCAATATTTATATAAATATTTATAATATTTACATACAAGCCATGCCCAGCCAGTCACATGACTACCAAGCCACACCCACAAATTAGGCCATGACCACAGAGCCGGTTAGTGGTCCCTGGGATTTAAAATTATGAATTTGGTGGTCCCTGAGGTCCAAAAGGTTGGCGACCCCTGCTTTAGGACTTATGAGGAGTCTTATAAAATAGTTTAAATTCTTCAATAAATTTCTGTGAAGTCCCTAGGGAGAAAGAGAACCTAAACAGTTTGTAGATGAAGTTTATATACAAAACAGTTTTATATAAATTATTAATATTTAATATAATTCAGAAATATGATAATTAGTTTTAAAAACTGCAAAATTTTACAATACACCCCACTGTAGCTGAAGTATTGATAGCCAAACATTCTGCCATGAAAAATTGCCACTATTAAATGTGTATTTATTATCAGTGCTAATATTGTTCGGTATCCTGTTCAATAAAGTGTACAGAACCGTCATTCATCTATCTCATCAATCAATTTTTCAGAAGCCAGCTAGACAGAATACAAATGAACTATTCCTCCTGCTACTCCAGAGCACCTCATTTCAATATTCCCATCCTGATCCTTTATTTTTTTCAGTCACTTCATTCTAAAATAAGAAACTATTTGTCTAGGAAGGCAATCCTACACCCCGTGAAGTTCATGGAGCTGCCCTTACTCTCCTACTGATTTGCTACAGCCTTTTGTTTATGAGGCCATTATGAGATGAATTCACTATCCTCAACTTTACACTATTGGCTGCAATTTACAGAAGCTGGAAAACAGCTTCCAGATATATCAGATTTAAGCAATATACATCTCCCAATATTATCTGTTTTGGGGAACTTCATTGATTTATTCTGGTTCTCTTTTGGTTATTTGGAATCACAGAAAAGTTTGCATTTTTGTTTGAATTGCAGCTCTGCAGATTTTTTCCCCCCCATTAGTAGGAACTCTTGTCTTACTCATCACTTTCTCTTCTCCTTCTCCCCTGCATCCCTCCCACACAATCCCTGCAAAGAATTCAGTATTTGGTTCCTGGAATTTGTCTCTTCCTGTATATTTAGAACTTAACTCACCCTGCCATTGATCCAATCCCCACGACAACACGGAACCATGATACAGCACCCGAGGGGCTAAATTGCTGCCATATTAGTATTCCACCAAGGAACTAACATGGCTGGAAAGCTTTTGGAAACAACCAGAATAAACTGAATTTGTTTGACTTCCTAACGGGTGTTTTTAAAACTGGTGTTTTTAATCACAACAGGCAAATAATAATTATAAACAATGAATATCTGGGGAATACCTAAAAGACAATTGCATTTATTACAACATAATATATAATAATAGATAATAGATATCAACTGGCTTCATCAGATACCTTAACATGTGTTGTTTTAGTTGTTAATTGATAATATGGTTACCCTTCTGAAAATTAGCTTGAATCACTGTGGTCCTGTTATATGTTAAGGTAAGTTGATGTGTATTTAACACAGTATCTATTCTACGTCTTTCATAGGTATAACTACATATACATAACTACAATTTATTATTTCTGAAAGAAAAAAAAGCAGTGTTTTCATTCATTTGCATTTTGTATCTTTTGTTATATGTTAAGATGAATTCCATCTATTTTTTTAAACTCAGCTTTAGGATGAGCCTTTAACATATTTAACATATCTAGTTAATGGGTTATTGTTATTTTAGATAGAAGAAGATCTTTTAAACAATGTATTACATAATAAGCTGCAAAATCTTGTTTTTGCTACAGTCTGACCATTAATTTGACACAAAGTGCAGTACACCCTGCAGAGTCACATTATTCTCATAATTCTTACGCAGCAAAGTCAAAGGTTAATTGTTTGTATTTGCTACACGGTTCACAATTATCCCGCACTTGTGAGTTAACCTAAGAGCTGTTTGAACTTTACAGTGCAAAATGTCATGCGATTTGTTGGAATTATTATTTAATAGTCCCCTAGAGGGCTTAAATACACTTATTGATTAGGCCCTTAATAGTTTTTTAAGTGATTAATTCTACTATTTGCCTGTTTGCCTGACTGCATTCTATCATGAGTGCAGCTCAGTGCTGCCTGCTCTTGAAATAATTTCACTGATTTCTTTTTTAAAATGCAAAAGAAGAGTATTATTCCAGCTGTTATAAACTGGTATACAGAGAAAAAAAGAAGCAATGCATTCCTTGTTCTGAACGTTAGGATTTTATGACATAATTTTTCTTTCATCTGCAAAAGCCCTATTCTTCAATCTGGAAAACCCGGGGTGTGGGGAACTATAGCCTGCAAATTGTGTTAGTAGAATACAGGTAGTCCTTGACTTACGACCACAATTGAGTCCCACGTTTCTGCTGCTAAGTGAGACATTTGTTAAGTGAATTTTGTCCCACCTTTGGTGCCACCTTGGCTAAGTGAATCACTGCAGTTGTTAAGTTAGTCACACAGTTGTTAAGTGAATCTGGCTTCCCCATTGATTTTGCTTGTCAGAAAGTTACAAAAACATGACTACAGGACACTGTAACTATCATAAATGTGAGTCACTTGCTAAGCATCTGAATTTTGAACCCGTGCCCATGGGGATGTGGCAATGACCATAAGTGTAAACAATGGTCATAAATCACTTTTCTTTTTTTCTTTTTTTCTTTTTTGAAACATCGCTTTGAGTGAACAATGTGGTTCCAGGTTTTACATTCCAGTACAAACATGACCCTGGTTAAATATTTACCTTTCTTATTCAATTTCATAATATTATTACCTGCTCCATTTTTCTTTTTATATTCTCATAAATTACTTTAAAGTATTATCTATATTCCTAATCAGTCTCATTATTCATTGTGTACATTTTCTTGTATTCGTCATATTTGCAAATTTTACCACATTATGTTATTCCATTCATCGTTTCCAAAAATTCCTCTTAATTTATATTATCCAATGTTTTCCCCTTTCATTATCAGTTTAATCTTGCCACCCTCTTTACATAGTAACACATTTTCCCCATTTTATTCCCTTTAACCAATTATAAAAACTAATAATAAAATAGCCACTTTCCCCCTTCATATTCTCTAATATTAATATTTCCCTATTTATAAGTCACTTTTTTCAATGCCATTGTAACTTTGCTCACTAAATGAACGGTTGTAAGTCAAGGACTATCTGTACTAGAAGTTGTTCTTCCTAATATGCATGCATGCCCACTCATTGGAGAATTATTTAACCATTTTCAGATAAACACTCATGTAGCTAATAATGCAATATATGAACTGAAGCAACTGCGGCAATCCATATGATGATGGCAACATATTTTTCACCCTCTCACTATGGCATCATATATCACATAGAAGGCATGAAACAGGATCTAGGCAGGTGTGGGGGATGAGAAGGAAGTAAATCGCAGCAGATTCTTTTACCTTATGCCAGGAGATCGTTCCAGTTGTGAGCTGTAGATCCTGGAAAACCTTACAAGGGAGAAAAGCATCTTCGTTACAGGTTGCCTCAACTTCTTGTGGGACACCAACTACTGCATGAAGCCCACACCAGACTGAAAAACATAAGATACCAGAAAAAAAGACACTAAAAATGAACAGCTGTAGATTGATTTTCCAAACAAAAGATTTTTTTTTCCAAATCAAGAAAGATCCTGAAGAATGTGAGGAAAACGAAGAGGCAGAGAGCAATAACACTTGAAAAGAAAACTATTTACTTTGACTTAGGAAGACAAGCTGATAGCAACGCATTGAGGCCATGAGTGTTTAGCAGAAGGGGAGATCTTGGTTCTTTTTAGGAGAAGGCAAGGAGAAGTGAAAGAGATGCAGTCTACCAGCCTATAAAGATCACAGGAAACAAATTATTGGGGATTCCCCCTCCTCCCTAACCCCAAATTAAGGAAGTCTTAAAGGCCACAGGCTGGAGGCAGAAAGTCCCACAGGGTAGCCTTCATCTTCTTTTCAATAATAATAATAATTAAAAAATAACTGTAATCAGAGATGTAGTATTATAATAGTCTTATAGTAAGGCCCATAAGCCTACTTTGGAGAATTATTCAATATTTTCCCAAAATGACTCTTCAAAAATTCAGTAATTCAGAAATTCACCCAACCTTCACTTTACAATATTTTTATATGAGGTTATTCTAGAGAAGGGTTTTTTTTTCCACCCTTCATGTTTCTTTCCTCACACTTCCATGCAATATCATTTTTATGGTTTAAATATCATTAGGCAGCAAAACAACAATCACACAACAGTATCTCACTCTATTATAGTAATTCCCTTTTCCCCTGAATCTGCAGAGTTGTAGATTCAAAAGGGAGAAAGTACAGAAGGGACATTTATATAACTCCTATTAGCAACTATCGAAAATAGCTGTATTTTTTTTTCTCTAGAATCATGCAGCTGTCCTTCAAATACTATTTAAATTTAGTAATAAAATGTTGTAAGGCAAAAGCCTTCATTCAAAAGTAGGAAACAGAGACTATGCAAAATAAACATCCACATAATCTAGAGAATGAAATATATCCATTATTTTGTAAGCTCATGGCAGGCACAAGCAATGAGATCCCTATGTGAAAGGTTCAAGTTGACTACTCTTTAGTACAAGGATCTCCCCAAACTACTCACCCTTCCTTGGGAACAAACAGATAATCTTCCCTGGAACTTAGGGGATGTCAGTCCTAGGTCTCTTGCAACTGCGCAATGACTCAAGGCTAGTTTCCTGCTTGATCGCTTCTCCTTGCCCGGCTGATAGTTTTCCAACATTGAAAACAACCTTTTTTTTTTTTAACATATTCAGTATTTTCTGTTCCAAAAGACATGGCAATGTTGGTGATACTCAGTTAACTGCCAGGCTACCCAGTTGTATGTTGTTATTTATTTTATCTTCCTTCTTTTGGATAGAAGAGTGGGGGGGGGGGCTGCGATGTTGTCCATGAAAGTTTGAAGAAATGTTATTTAAATCTTGAGTTAAGTCTTGGTGGTTCGCCATGGTCAGGAGCCACAAAAAGTATTTTAATGGGGGTCCATGCTGAAGAAAAGTTTAAGAACCACTGTTGTAGAGGATATGGGAGAGTTTTTTCTTTTGTTTTGTTTTGTTTTGTTTTGTTACTTCAGGACGTGAGCAGCTGAGGATGGCAGAATGATTTTTGCTCCTTGTTCCCAGGATTTCAAGTTGGCAGAAGAAATGGCAATCAGGAATCATGACTCCTGTTCAGAATAATTCTTAGAATTTGCAAGCAAAACAGCTGGTTGAACGCCTAGCTAAAAGTTAGAAAATGCATGCAAAAGAAAATGGTTTCATAGAATTATGGAATTATAGGGTTGGAAGGAACCTTGGAGGTCTTCTAGATTTCATTCCATCATGGACAAATGGTTATTCAATATTTTCTTGAAAAACTCCAACGATGAGCATTCACAACTCTGGAAGGTAACCTACCCCACTGCTTAATAGGTCTCAGTGTCATTTCTCAGTGTTTATTTCCAGGTTAGATCACCCTCTGCGGAGCTTCTGCCCATTGCTTCTTATCCTACTCTCAAGTGCTATAATCATCACCCTCTTTAGTAGGGCAGCCCTTCAACGATTGGAAGAGTGCTATCATGTCTCCCCTCAGTCTTCTCTTCTTTAAGTGACACATACCTAGTAACCTTAAACTATTCTTCAGGATTTAGCCTCCATTCATCATCTTTGTTGTTTTTCTCTATACTCTTTTTAGGACCTCAGCATCTTTTTTGTATCATTGTTGACCAGAACTGGAAGGAATATTCCAAATGTGGACTCACCAGTACTGAATAAACCCTGCCTTGGTCTTGATGCTATTGCTGTCTTGATGCAGCTCAAGACTTCCTTGGCATTTGTTTGGCAGCTACAGCACAGTTCTGACTCATACTTCAGCGATGGCCCATCAGTACATCGTGATCCCTATCACAGTCATTGCTGTTTTTAACTAGGTACTGCCCATCCTGGACCAATGCATCCGGCATTTTCTGCCTAAGTACAAGACCTCATTTTCCTTGCCACTGAACTGCATCTTATTGGTAATTTGTTCCCCTGTGGGAAAAATTCACATTATAAGTTTCCATCCAGTGATAATGTAGGGGAGTCATTAATTTAAGGTGATTGAGGTGACAAATTGTGAAAGAAGAAGCAGAGACTCTGTGGTTTTTAAAAAGAATAGAGTACAGTGGGAAATTGGCATTTGCTTTTTTTTTTAAAGAGGAAATGAAAACTATAAATTTTATTTAGTTACCAAAATTAGACTTTAGGTTTTTTTCAAAATTGGACATAATGAACTAGCATTTTTTATATAAACTAGGAGGGCAGGTTTCTTTGGAATATTAACGACACTTCAAATACATTTCGTAAAATCTATTGACAACTATGTGGAGAGCGAGGCAAAACTCTGTTTCGGTTAACATTTAAAATTAGCCAGGAACTTTTAAAATGTGCTGAACACAAACATTATTTTAATAAAATGTTCTTTCTATTTCCTTAAACCAGCCCTAGGTGGCAACAATACATCATATCTGATTGTCCTACTATGATCTAAGTGCGAATTGTAATGAACATTTCACGTAAACATATTTGTGATTTGGGGCCCTGGGACAAGCCACAATTCCAGAAGCTTCCATTAGTTGCTTGATAAGTAGTGAAAAGAGATTCATATTTCACATCCCTGTACAATTCCTGTACAATTATCATACAATAGGATTAAGTCACTCTTCTAAGTGACTTCTCAGAGAGAGGGGTGGGTACCTGAGAATTACACCTATGCTCATAAGCTTTGATGGCTATCTATTCTAGTGACCTGGGTTCTCGATAGGTTTTTAGTGGGTTTTTTAAAATTTATTTTACACTTTTTGTATGTTATCCCAATCATTATAAGCAAAGACAGAAAACACAACAGAAAGAACATACTATTTTTATTACATTGATTGACTGATAGATTATTTCATTGTTGATTGATTGGTTGATTATGTGCCATCAGCATCCACAGAAATAGATTTTCTCCATGGCAACCTGTTCCCAACTTAGCCCTTCTGATCTTCCAACACTGTAGAGGTAGCCCTCGACTTACAATAGTCACCGTTCATAGTTACAACGGCACAGAAAAAAAGTGACTTATGGCCATTTCTCATGCTTACAACTGTTGCAACATCCCCTTGGTCCTGTGATCAAAATTTAGATGCTTCGCAAGTGACCTATCTTTATGACGGTTGCAGCGTCCTGGGGTCATGTGATCACATTTTGTGATCTTCTGACAAGCAAAGTCAAAGGGGACTATTTGTTTTCTTGGCTGTTCGTGGTATTCTTAAGGTTTTTTCCCCAACACTAAATTTCAAAAGCATTAAAATACTTTCTATTCTGCTTTTTAAAAGTCTAATTTTTGCTTTCATGGAGTATTACAGAGAATAATACCACAGTTTGCATTACTCTGAATTTTGAAGTACAGAGACTTCAGGGCATCTGAAAAATTTTTCCAAGGCCTTCTTGACTATACTACCAAATACTAGTCTACAGTGTATTTCCTGACTGCTTGTTAATTTACTATGGATAGTTGATCCTAAAAAGCAGAAGTTAGCTATCACGTGCATATCTTCATTGCCAGTTTCTTTGTTGTACCCATTGCCATTAGTTTGGTCTCCTTTGTATTTAATTTTATATCCAATTTTTTCACTGTTCTTCTTGGCTTTTATTACTAGAGCTTGCAGGATGCTTTGCATTTTCAGTTGTCAAAGTAATGTCAATCAGTATAGTGCAGTGTTTCTTCCTTCAGTTTTAAAAATATATTATTATTCTTCCAGTCTAGTTTCCTTAATATTGTGTGTATTCAGAATATAGTTTGAATAAATAAAAAGAGAATATATAGCTATAATCCCTTTTTGCCAACCAAAAGCAAATATGTTTTGTCATTTTCTATCCAAACTGCAAAACCTATACACCGTATAGGTTTTGCATGAAGACAATGAGATTTTCTGCTATTCGTATTTTTCTAAATATATGCCACAACTTGATGTGATCAACACAACTGAAGGTCTTTCTGTAATCAATCATATACATGCTGACTTTTTTTTCATTATTCTTTGCCTTCGTCTTTCTCAATTATCCAGTGTGCAAATTGCAAAACCTATACACATGGAGACAATGAGATTTTCAGGCATTCACATTTTTCTAAATATATACCACCGCTTGATGTGATCAACACAACTGAAGGTCTTTCTGCAATCAATATACACATGCTGACTTTTTTTCTCATTATTCTTTGTCTTTGTTTTTCTCAATTAGCCAACATGCAACATCAATAATCATCACCTTCCTGGCCTTTGGGCATGAAGATATTATTCTGGCAGCATGCAGAGAGGGTCTGGCAATAGTAGGAAGTGCTTACAGTGGCTTTGTTGAGCTGATATATGATGCATTCTGCTGATGATCTTGATTTTCTGTTCTTTTGAATTAACACTGTTTAACTGTTTGTATATTGTATATTGGGATTTAACATGTTTTCCTTAGTTTGTTTTTACCTGCTATGAACTACCTATAATCACTTAGATGAAATGGATGGCTGTAAATAATAACAATAATAGGAAAAATCACAAAATATCATGACTTGGCCATCGAAATTACGCAATTATGGATGAAACATGTAACAATGATACCCATTGTCATTGGGGCACTTGGTACCATGTCCAAGAATTTTACAAAATAAATCAAGAAATTGTACCTTCCTGCACTAACACCAGCAGAACTGCAAAAGAC